CCCCTTTCCTCCAATCTCTAAATTTTATCCCATGTCTTGCACAGCCCAAATCCAAAGTAGTACATCTGAGATTGTGACTATAAGTGTGAGCACAAGTAATGAATTAATCATTAAGCAGCAATTTTCCCCACCATAATAGCAGTTATTGTAACTATTGTTACAGCTGTGTCTATAAAATCGCACAAAGACTGAAACACTGGGACCAATGCATACCTGTGTCAGGATTACTCTTGTTTAATGGAATCTGTTTGAAAGAAGGTTTTCCAAGCTAGTCCCCTTACCTCTCCCTATCTTTAATACAGGCAGAGACTACTCTATCCAAAGAAGACTTAAACCATTTTAATAAGGATCCTGTCCTAGAGAAAGTTATGTCTCTAAACTGCCTGTAGGAGTGTGCTTTACTATCAACATCTGAAGTGTGACTTACCTCATCGTCATTTCTTGCCTTTTGTAATTGTTCTGTGCTGGCTTCATAGTTCTTTGCAAACACCATTGATTTTCTCTTTCTTACCTCTTCCACTCTGAACTGTATCTGCTCAGGGATTAACACACATTTTAACCTTTATCTTTTAAAATATATATTCCTTCCTTTTGTACATAGTTTCTATTTACAGGGTCCAATGTTTTAGTGTAGTACTATGTTCATAATGTTCATAAATACATAAATGTTCATAAATACATAATTGTGCTGATTGTCTTTAGAGAACTTTGATGGACTTTTTAAAGAAAGTCTTATGGCAGTCTCTTAAGACAACTTGGACCTTTCCTAAAACTTTTCAAAAGCAGGCAATACTTTGAAATTGACCCCCCAAACAAACAAACAAAAAATAATTTAAAAAATCAGAATTTTATAGTGGAAAAAGTTTCACTAAAACCAACCCCTTTATTTTGGACTTGTCTAAATCCAGGCTTCTCAGCATGATATGGGATCCAACACACAGAAGACATTTGCCCATCGTTGTGTACAATTGAATTTTTTTTTTCCAAATGTGTCACAGAAAATATACCAACTAAAACCATTGAAACCATTGGAAACTTTTATTTTATTTTATTTTATTTTATTTTATTTTTTTTATTTCTTCCTGTTTAACATAACAAAATCTGTGATTTGATATCCATATGTGAAATTTCACATCTACTATTTTAATAACTAAACCTGCATCCACTGAATTTTGTTCTCATCCTTACCATTGGCTCCTGGCAGGAGCGCTGAAGTCTAGTAGTTTAGCCCATGTTACCCCAAAAGACAGGTTGGCTGAAAGACCAAGGAGTTTTTTGTAATTTGTGCCCCAGAACGTGCCTTTCACAGAAAGAAGATCTTGCACCATGGTGCTGCTGGCATTCCTCTGGACCTATCAGTATTCACTTTTGCAAAGGGTGGTGAGCTGTATCTTCTGTGTTGGAAGGATTTAACTTATTTGACCTTGCTCCCTGTTTGTTTTTTGTTTGTTTGTTTGTTTGTTTTTTAGGTTGGAGTTTTATCAGGAAGAATTTTATGAGGCTACAGATCTATTATTTCCATACTCACAGAAAATGATTTGGTGCAGCTACCACCAATAACACTTCCATTTATGAATATCACTGCTGGGCTGTATGCATTCAATCACCCCTGCTCAGTCCTGCTCCTGAGCATTTTTCAACAGCAGGTGAAATCATAGTAGTGATTATGGTGGGAGGCAAGGAACTCCTTTGGTCTCTAAACTGCAATGAATTAACTCAAGAGCGTTTTGAGGCATTCTTCTTTGCCTCCTTCCCTTCCACATTACTTCACATTTTTAAGCCAAAGGCTTTCCTTTCATAGTGATTTATTCAGCACCTTTAGCAACCTGTTAATGAGTGTGAAACCCACAGTTAGCTGAGACACTTCAGAGAAAAGAAAAAAAGGAAGGGGGGGCGGGGGGGGGAGAGAAGGGAGGGAGGAAAGAAAGAAGGAAGAAACAAAGGAGGGAAGAGGAAAGAAGGAAGAGAGCTATGATTAAGTACATAAGGAAAGGACTACTCTTTTTGCTCTGTTTCTTTGATATCTTTCTTGCTGCTTTTATTATTCCCCCTGGTTCTCTGTGTTGGTAGAAATGAAGTTGGCAAGCTCCATCGAGGAGAAGGCGGCAAAGTCCATATCCTGGCACAGCCAAGTAGGTTCCCATGTCTAGACAGTGCACACAAAGGCTGGCAAAAGGCCAGAAACAGTTAATGGATTTACAAAATAGTAGCATTTCTCTGTATTGATTTTCTCGGGGTGTTTCCAGAACACAGTGAACAGAAAACAGTTATACTTCACAATCTTTTCTGCTAATAAAAGGCCTCAGAGAAAAACACTGAATAAAAACACTACTGGTCTGGGGAACGTCATCTGAAGTTCTCTCTCCAGAGGGGGGAGGATGAAGCCACTAGATATTACATTAACCATAATTACTGGCTATATAGAGAGGTTCAGATGGTGATATTTACTGTGACTGAGTGTGAGTCTATATTTTTAAAGAAAAAGGTAACCTCATCACAGCCCAGCAATGAAACAATTAACCTGAGTGACTTAGTCAGGGAGGTGAGCAGTTTGACACCAACTGTATCCCCTTTTCCTTGTGTGTGATGAGTTTTCAAAATATGTGTGGTCAATGCATCCGAACCTTCTCTGAGAAGACAAACAACAGCTTCAGTGCTCTGGGTTTGCATGTACTCTTATTGTAGGCTTTATGTAATTTTAAATGAATTTAAAGCCTACATACAAATAAAAATAAAAAATAACAAAAAAGTACATTTTGGAAAAAAGGTGGGGTTGGATACTGCCCTCCAAAACATATAAAGAAGGGATTTAAGTCTTGGCCTGTCATGCTGCATTTCAAATAGGATTGGCAACTCTACCCATTTGGAAGTTAACCCTCATATTTGCAGAAACCTCTTCCATCTGTTACAGCTCTCACCATCAGCATCTTGAGGCCCCCCTGAAGCCATATGTTGGCAATTATAGATGGTATAATGTGTGTGTGAGAAAATTATTTGGACCAGAGTGGTATACTGACAAATCAAGTTATGCATATGGTTCTGTGACATGCTGGTTAGCAAAGAAGGAACTGAAACTGGTAATCTGCTGGGTAGGAGATGGAATTGAATAGAAGAACTGGAATTGAACAGAAGAGATGATTCAGAATTAAATAAATGGTGGCTTGTAAAAAGAGTCCAAGTAATTATTTGTGTCTCTAGTTTGATCTTGACAAGTGTTTTCTGACCATTGGGATCTATGTGTGAAAGACCTGTAATAGTATTTTCCCACCTTGCAGCACTATCAGTAAAGTATATGGTTTGCAGAGTGCAAGAGATTTAAATACAAGAAAAGTGAATGAATATATTCAAACATAAATTTATCTGATTATTTTAAGAAAAACACAGATGAAAAAGTGGCTTTTCTGTCTTTCAGTGTAGAAAGATTATGGACAGCAAGATGGTGAAATGGCTGAACTTGAGCTTGGACTAAAGGAACAACAGAGGGAAGAGCAGTGGTGGGAAGTCTCAGACAGAGGGCAAAGATGGGTTTAAGGTCTTCATAAGATAGAAACAGTAAGAATATTAAAATATTTAAAAAGGATATATTTAAGAGGAGAATTGAACATCTTATTAAAATTAATTCTTTCTACTCTGGAGTTGATGAATTAATATCCCACCTGTAGCAGTTACCAAAGTCTGAAGTATCCTTACAGAGCTGATGTACCCACTATGCCCAAGAGACCCTCTCTTGATGACAGTCACAGAATCACAGAATTTCTAGGTTGGAAGAGACCTCAAGATCATCGAGTCCAACCTCTGACCTAACGCTAACAGTCCCCACTAAACCATATCCCTAAGCTCTACAGCTAAATGTCTTTTAAAGACTTCCAGGGATGGTGACTCCACCACTTCCCTGGGCAGCCTGTTCCAATGTCTAACAACCCTTTCGGTAAAGAAGTTCTTCCTAAGATCCAACCTAAAACTCCCCTGGCACAACTTAAGCCCATTCCCCCTCGTCCTGTCACCAGGCACGTGGGAGAATAGACCAACCCCCATCTCGCTACAGCCTCCTTTAAGGTATCTGTAAAGAGTAATAAGGTCGCCCCTGAGCCTCCTTTTCTCAAGGCTGAACAAGCCCAGCTCCCTCAGCCGCTCCTCATAGGACTTGCTCTCCAGGCCCCTCACCAGCTTCGTCGCCCTTCTCCTCTGGACCCGCTCAAGCACCTCGATGTCCTTCTTGTAGCGGGGGGCCCAAAACTGAACACAGTACTTGAGGTGCGGCCTCTCAAATCACTTGTCAAATTACCAGACTGACTGTCCACCAAAAGCCCAATTTAGCTGGGCTGGAATGGTTTCCAGTCATTACCACTGTTTTTTTCTTCTACATCCGAACCCTGTTTTGTCCCATGTTGGGGGTGAGAGAGTGTTCTGAGACCCTGAGGAGCTAAATATATGCAGCCTATGTGCTTTATCCTATTCCCAGATACTTGCTAGGATTGCCATGCAGCTAGGTTTGTATTCATAAAGTAACGGTAGATCAAAATATATTTGGGTGCTAGTGGTGCCATCTTCCCCCAAAATTCACTACAAACTTCTTTCATTTTGATTTCACAGGATGGGTACAAAAGAGTCATACCTATTCCCTTTCAATACTGTTAGATGGCAGAAATATTTGGAGGAATGTCACCTTAGAGATCCTCATCAGATTACTGAGGAGATCTTGCAGTTAAAGGTAAAAATCTTCTATGGGAAGCAGAGTCACCAGAAGAGGTGAAGTGTATGGGAAAGAGAGATGTGGACAAAACAAGGACAAGTTAAGTACTTCTCTAGACATCTCATGAACTTCACACTTGTCAAGAAGACCAATGGAAAAGAAAGTTAGAATTATTCTTTTAATTACTACAGTCATTCACTGCTGTGGCTAGTGTACGGAAACTATTTTTCTTCATTTGTTATGCCATTTTGCATTTCACAGGGTATTTCACTCAGTAAAAATAAAATAAAAGAAAACAAAACAGGGATTCCACATACAAAAACATTTTTATTATTGTTATAACTTGCTGTTTAATTTAATACTTAACTAGGAATACAACTCAGCAGAAGTACATACATATATATTGCATGTAATTTTAGTTGTGTCTTCAAGATATTTCAAACCTCTGTCCTTCATGAGTTGTTTTGGTGAAGCACCTTCTTCCTTCATCCTGCATAACATTTGAATGTTGCTGAATAAAACATATATTTTTCCTCCAAATGGAGTACAACATTACATCCAATTTCCCAGTTAATATGACTATCAAACTTTGCTTTCATTGTGTGAATGTTGTATATAATATGTATATATCTATACAGCATATAAATATATAATGTATATATATAGTCAAATTGGTCAGCTTTACACAGCTAACCATAAACTTGTGCTTATCTTATTTATATGAGATCAAATGTACAGCATCAAGAATTTGACCAGTCCCCGACTTGTAAGAACATCAGTTCCCAGTCTAACCATATGACTTTGGGTATCATATACATGCAATGCATTCCCTTCTTCTTTGCAGTATTTTTCACTTTTGAAGAAAAGAATGCAGTTATTTAAACTTTTTATTTTTAATATATATATATAAATGAATGACAAGTTTGCCATACCCTTAAGTTAAAAAAAAATCTCAAGAAGAGATGAGGTTCTTCCTCATACATAGAGCTTGAAGAATAATTGGACATTCATTGAAGATATATTTACATTATAACCTAATCTGAATAGTAGTACACATACTGTATTATTTCTGTACATAGACAAGATATGCTGTTGGTCATGTTAAAACACACTTTCTAAAGGTATTTACAAACTGCTAGTCTCTAACTTACCAACCATCTCTGCAAAGTGCCACCAAAATTAAGGGACAATGTATAAGAAGGTCTGTTTATTGGAAACCATGGCACTCTCTCCAGTATTGTTTTTATTATTACTACCACTACTACAATGCTGTGCTTCAGAGAAGGGCTGTGTTTAGGGTAGAGGTGTAACGACAGAGCCTATGGTGGAGAAATATCTTCCCTTCTCCTGCAGCCTACATGAGCCAGGAGGGGTGGAAAAAAAAGCAATCCAACCATGACCCATCTATTCTTTTACAAAATTAGGGCATGCACTTTCTTTTGAGCTGCCAGGTGAACCTGTCCAAAAGCTAAAAACTCAGTGAAATCCTTCCTTCCCAAGTCCACTGTAATCATGACCTTACTGTCTCATACACCATCCACAGCTGGTTCTCTCAGAGAGTAAGAGCACTTTGGGGCATCTAAAAGAAGAAAGTTGCTATGTGCTTCTTTGCAAGTACTGTCCAAAGAAACCAAATCAAACCACCCCCCCGACTATTCCCCAAAACAACAAAAAACAACAAAACAAAAAACCTACATAATAACTCTCTGTAAAAATAGGAAAAAGATGTAATTGCATCCCACCCAATTTCATCCCACCCAATTGCATTTTTGAGGTTAAAAAAAGCTTTGGAAGGGGAAAAGACACTTTTTTTTTTTTTTTTTTTTTTTTTTTTTAATTCAGTTGATACTGGAATGAAATACGTCTAACAAATCTACCCAGTATCCTGAAATATGAAACCCAGGAGGACTGATATGCATGTGTAAGCCACTAGTTTCTGTGATGTAGAAAAAGGGGCCATAGCAAAGGAAGAAAGCAAAAGTAAAGGAGAAATAATTGCATCGGCTGTGGTAAATGATTGATGTCTAACTCAGTCTTGCTATAATTACTTTCTTAGGCATGGTTTCTGAGTGAACACTCTGCTAGTAAGCTTGGGAATAAAAAGGGATTCAGTGGAAGGGAAGATTGCCTTACCTTTGCACAAGGCATAAAATAAATCCATGCATGTTGCTTCTTGATATTCCACTATGAGAATATTCAGTCTTTGCTATCATCCACTGTTATTTCTCATACAGACATAATAAAACTGGGGAGGAAGAGAACTGAATTGGCTTTGCTTCATGTGAGGAATTTTCTTCTTTCCAAATCAAATCCCATGCAGAAAGAATTTATGAAACTTCTCACTCCACAGAGTATGTTGGACTTCAATGGAGAGAGATTTGCATGCTGGAGAAGGCAGTATTTTTGGTGGGATTAAATAATTTGAATACCAGCATTCACAGTGTCTTAAAAGTAAGAGAAACTGCACACCTGTAGCTAAAACACAGATGACAAATAGTAAAGAGAGGGAGAATGTAAGCATGTTTTTTTTTCAAGACTGTGTCAAAAGAGGAAAGAGGCAGGGCAATCAAAAAAGAAGCTACTGCAAATTGAGGACCATCTATCAGCTTCTCTCAGGGAAAGATTTTCTATAAATTAAAAAAAAAAAAAAGATTTCTTAGAAGTCTTTAATGATATGCAGGAAAGATAAATGGAATATTGTATAGAAATATATAATTTCATTAGCAAGTGTTTCTAGACAAGTTGTATAAAAGATCTGTAGATCCAGAGGGGAAAAAAGGGAAAAATCTTTTTAGCTGATCAGTTTCTACTCTTTACCTTGCTGTCAACTGTGAGTACAGAGTCATCCAGGAGGAGAGATTTAAAAATATCTAAGGCTACTAGACTCTAGACCTGTCGACAACCTCTCCCTCACTCCCCGACCCAGAGATGATTTTCCTGCTGTTTCTTTCACAATAGTTTGGCTTTGCACAGGAAGCATCCTGATTTGTCAAAAAAAAAAAAAAAAAGATGTTTAGGAATTTTTGTAAGGTTAGGGAAAGAAAACAATTCTTAGCATCATGTTTTCTGCCTCCCACCAACTGCATAATGCCAACCATGCATCATAATGTGGCTGTGAGGACGCTTTAGAAACTTGGTCCTGCAAGGCCAGTACCAGAAATGGTTTTGGTAACAGGAGTGGCCAGGTGAGGTGCTGTTTTCTGAGAAGAAAAACTCAGGTTTTTCTTGAAGTGTGCCACCTCAGTGACATTGGAGAAACCAGGTGTTCTCTACCCACGCAGCTGCCACATCAATAGGAATGCAGAGCAGCGATCAACATTAAAAAAAAAAATATCTGTGGAAGTGAGTTTAATAGCAAGCCTTACTGCAGCACAGGCAAGGGACGTGTTCAAATCCATCAGGAGATGAAACAAAACAAAGCAAAAAAGGGTCCATACTCTTCTGCCTCTTTCCGATTTGTGATGGTCAGGAGCAACTGTGACAACCGTTAAGTCTTCTTTCTCAATAGTGGGTGGGCTGTTCTCACTCCAACCACAAGAGGCCTCCTCTTGTCAACATGTTTTCTTCCACCAGAAAGATATAAAACAGAGGGATGATAGATTTAGCTGTTGCTTTTGTTCCCATTGCATTGTGGATAACAAACAACTGATCTCTGGGGTCCATTTGAAAACTCCTGCCCCCATGAGAATTTGAGAGGCAAACCAGAAAGAAAGAAAGACCTATAAGAAAGAAATGTGACCTATATAAATGTGTTTGTTGGCTTTGGACTATTTTTCATCAGGCAATGTTCAAACACTGCTGTCTCCAAATGAATCCCCATGATTTCTAATAAATCAAATGAAAAATCCAAACAAAACAGCTGACAAATTTTCCTCAGGTTTTGTACACACTGGAAAACAAATTTCTCAATATTGCTTCAGCTTCTTCTTTATCTCTCTCCCTTTTTGTTCTTCTTTTTCTTCTCTCTCTCATTCTCTCTCTTTTTTTTTTTTTTTCCTTTTTCTTTTTAACCACAGTCGTCTTTAAAACTCAGAGAAGGTACCAGTTGGACTGACACATCTCTAGGCTGTTGTTCTCTCCTGGACAGAGAAAGAAGGGATGGCCCATGACAGAATGGTTCACCCCCAGTGGGCTGCCAATGGGACAAACCCTGCTGCAGCACAGATACTGTGGAGGATTGGGCCTTTTTGGTTTTAGCTGCTTCTGGAAAAGATTAAGAGGATGATAAGGAGAGGGTGAGAAGTGTTTGCTGCAGTATTTTTTTTTTCTTTCATGATTCATCCTCACAGTTTTCTCAATTTCTATGTGAAACCAAAGTGGCCAGTGCAGCATACGGTGTAGATATGCTGCTGGGATCCTCTGGCCAAGCCCGGGATGAAGACGTGGCAGCACCAGCAGCGGAGCCACTAGGGGCCATAGGGTGGATGGGGCGCGGGTAACATCCAGGGAAGCCAGAAGAGGTACCCAGGGAGCGCTGCTCTTCGAAACCGACATCTACATCTTGCAGAACTATCTTTCAGAAGGGAAGTGAAACCTATTGAAGGTTGTTTGGGACAAAAAGCAAAGAGATGAGAGCTTGAGAGATGTTCAAAAGGACAATTTCTTCTGTGGTCCTGAAAGATTATTCTCTGTTTTATCTTACTGAGCTATGACCAGCTACAGACCTGAGAAGTTCCCAGGCTCTGCCATCCTCTCTACCTTCAGGACAGGATACAGAAAGTCATTAGTATGAGCTGGCTCTGCAAATCCCACCAGCTGCCATCAAGCACAACGTAGACACAATAATCACATACAACATCTTGAGAGTTAGATGATTATTTTCCACGTATATAAAACATGTTGGTGTGTCTTTGCATGCCTGTCTGTACATGTGTAAGTACATTATTTCATGTATTTTTACATTTTCAATCAGATGAAAATGTTGATGTACCATAGAACAAGGTGGAAACACACAGGATTATGTCTCTTGCAAACATTTAAATATGCAATAATACACACACAAAGAAAGAATTTTGCCTTTTCAAAAGGATCAAAAGTATCAAAAGTGGGGGTGATTCTAAGGAAAAATTCCAGAAAACTTCACACTTGTCTGTCACTCTTTGTTTCATGAATGTTGGCCCCAAAATAAATGTTTCTGCATGGTGTGTTGAGTGTCATAATATCACATTAATTTTACACTTAACCTGTAGAAGGGTCCTCAGCTGTTGGAAAAATTCATCATTTATGAAAAAGTGAAAGCTTCAATTGAGAGAATAAATCATTTACACACCTGCTGGGAAATGGAAGCTATAAGGTGAAATAATAATCAAAACATTTTTCCCATTTTATGTGTCTGTGCTATTAATATCTTCATTACATTCTGAAAGGAACAGGTGAGTTTCTTTTGTGAAAATTTCTAAAGAAATGAGATTTAGAAAATTAACTCCCCCCCTCACCTGGATTTTTAACTCTCTAAGAGAATGAATGATGTAGAAATGATCATGTAACTCTTTCTCTTGACCTGTCTATGTAAGCCTAGTGGATTGAGTTTTGAAAGACAAGTTGCACTCAATTTTGCAAACCTTACCACTGAGTATTTTCTCCTTACAAGCAATAAGTTGAAGTTTATGATAGCAAATGTGGCTCGATGTGAGTGAGGGTTGCAAAATTAGATCCTTGGCTGCATGGAGACACTTAGATGCATTAGGATGAAGTCACTAGATGTATAAAATCAATGAATGCATAGTAAGACGTATTACTCCTAAATTTAATGTGGCCTTAATTTACTGCAGTTTAATCGTCTTCATTTTCCATTTCTGCTAGGAACCTGTACTTTGAAACATTAAAATTGTCAGATTGCCAAAGTGCTTTAACACTCTCTTCCAATAAGCTTGTCAAATGTAAAACTTCAGCCTGCAAGATTAATTTTCCCACAATCTTGAATGCTTCTATTCTAAAGTGTATTTTGGAAGACTCTTATGTGTTAACATGAAATAACAAAATGCTTTAGTGTCTCAGTTGGTTGGTGGCTTTCACTCCAGAATACAATCTCTCAGAAGACTGTGTATGCAGCAAGCTACTTTTTGGATAACAGAACGTGTAGGTGTAACTTCACTAGTGCCTGGAAGTGAGAGTTACAAAGAAGGAGGTAATTGGAATATGTAACACTCACAGACAATATCTGTTTTCAGTAATCTGATATACTTTGACCTATCTACACAGTGCTCAGTTGTGCTACAATAAATGTCAAATATTGAAATAAAAAATTCTTTGTCAGGTAGAAAGAATCTGGGTTTGAGCTGGTACAGAGTAACAGATAATATTTCAACATGGCTCTTACCAGCCCCTCTTCCAGACTATTTCAGTATCTGTCTTTTAGTAATTTCTGATTTCTTCCCTGCCTTTTTATTAGTATTATCCCTTGGCATATGGTGAAAATATTGCTCCTAGCTGGTACAAAAGGTGAAATAGCTAATATCTTTTCCACAAAGTAAACATCTTGTCCAGGATACACCTAGATAGGACCCTGGTTTCACACTAAGGTCTTAGGCAGAGCATGATCTATGTGGGCCTATCAGTAAATCTCATTTTTTTCATCAGTAAGTGAATGAGAATCACCTTTTGGCTGGTCAAGAGCATAGTCATCTAATATCGACTATTCATTCTGTAGCACCTAAACATACATCCTCATCTGTACATCCAACTGTAAAGGATTTACATCCTTTAATCTCTATTTTCCTAGTAATAAGCTTGTTTCTATGCTTCAGCTGAGGCCCTTCATTTGGCCACCATTGTGGCTGATCTGATGAGACCTTTGAATTTACAACTTCTTTTGATATACAGTCTTTGCATCTTAAAGAAAGTACAAAAGAGAGGGGAAGGTTGATGGAGGTGAAAGACAAATCCATGGGCAGATTTCATATGACAAAAAAAGTGAACAAAATAGTCTCAGAAGCTTTGGTTTACATGGATGTTGAAACAATCCTGGGATTTAGCCATCTGGAAAGGATGTCTTTTTTCACTTTTATTTTTACTTGGTGGAGAGATCATGGGACAAAATCCCCTAGAAGGGGACAAGTAGCAGACTTTGATACAGATGTTAGGCAATGGTTACATGTTGAGCAGAATTATGCTTTCATAAAGGATGCAGTTTTGGAAATGGGAGCATCATAAACAACATAAAATATCTTTCAGCATGATTTACATAACATTAAGGTTTTCAGATAACATAGACAAAAACTTTAGACAACCTTGAGCTTTGGAAACTTTTTGTTATGATTTGGGTTATGTAAAGTTCTTTCAAGCCTATATACTTCTTCCACATAGTTATTTTAAAAGTTACCTCATTTCTTTTCCATATATGAATACCTCTTAAACACACAGAAAAAAAAATAGATATTTTACACACAATGACAAAAAACAAAACAAAACAAAAAACACATAGATTCTAAAGCCCTTCTGCAAAATACTCTCAGAAAGTAACTGTGCCTCCAGACCATATACTTGAATAACTCCTCAAAACATCCCCATGTCCTCAAGATTTATTGTCAATAATTAAAAAAAAAAAAAAAAAAAAAAAAAAACAACCCACACAAAACAGTTTTAAGTGTAGTTCTCAGGAGTGGAGCAGATGATGCCCCATCTCAATATTTCCACTAACATCCTGGATTGCACATTCCATAGTAGAGCATAAAGTGCTATGGCATTGTTATTTGTTTGCTTTATTATTTAATTTCAAAATTCTTCACCTTTTCTGTTATTCTTTTTATTCTTTTTATTATTTTATTATTTTTACCTTGTAGCTCCTATATTCTTGTAATGGCACATAAGAAGGTGCTTAAACGTCTTCTTGAAAGTAGCATTGCAGAGCGCATAACAAGCAGGGTTGATGGTGCTGTTGATATAACAGAGCCAGTAACCTATGGTCCATACAGTACCAGGGATGCAGGATGTGCAGAAACTGTTGATGAGCACCATCACGTTGTATGGGGTCCAGGTGATGATGAAGGCCAGCAGGATAGCCAGAATGGTCCTTGTTACTTTTTTCTCTCTAGAAGGAGGTGGTTTCTTTTTGGCAGGCTGCTTTGTCATCTTGACAATTTTCCGGGCTACACTATTCTGTTTTTCCTCTCCATTGGTGCCTACTATCTCCACGGTGGTGTTTGTGGGAGCACAACTGTCACCCTTTTGAGACTTCGTGACTATCCTGATGCATGTCAGCTTGGAGTTCTCCACTTTGAGATGGTCTTGGGAAGCAAAAGTCTGGCTGGCATCTTTGGCAGATTCATCCTCTTTCATGTTGGATGCAACCACACTGACTGAGGTGGAGTCATTGGAGCTGTCCTTCTCCTCCCCTTGAACACAGTTCTCCATCGCAGTTTCTCCAGTGGTTTTTCCGTTCTGAATTTTGTTGTGCTCCAATCCATCCCCACTGGTTGGGATGTTGTTATTGTTTGGTTTCACTATTTTACCTTGAACAAGGCTGGGGGAAACTGGATCCTGGTTTTGGGCAGCTTCTTTTTTCCCTTTCTTTATCCGACTCTTGCTGGCTCGAGAGATTTGCCAGTAAAGAACAGTCATGATGATAACAGGTAAATAGAAAGCTGCAATGGCAGTGCCAAAAGTGACAGCAGGGTTGGAAAAAAACTGGATATAGCAATCCTTGTCAGGGACAGTCCTTCCTCCTACTATGAACTGCCAGAAGAGAATTGCAGGGGCCCACAGGATGAAGGACAGCACCCACGCAGCTGCAATCATCATGCCTGCCATCTTAGTGGTCCGCTTTACAGGATATGTCAGAGGCTTGGTGACACAAAAGTATCTGTCAAAACTGATAATAAGGAGGTTCATTACAGAGGCATTGCTGACCACATAGTCAAGAGCCAGCCAGAGGTCACACACCACAGGCCCTAAGGGCCAGTAGCCTATCACAGTGTAGAGTGTATACAGGTTCATGGAAAAGATGCCAATGATCAAGTCTGCGCAGGCCAAGCTGAACAGGAAATAGTTGTTGACAGTCTGCAGGTGCCTGTTGACTTTGATTGACACCATGACCAGGATGTTCCCAATTATGGTGACTAAACTGAGAGATCCTGCTACCAGGACAATGAAGACCACCTCAACAGTTTTATAGGGGCTCTCCAGAGCCATCACATTTTCAGTGGAAGAGTTTATGTATGTTGAGTTATTCATTTCTGTGCTGCTAACAAGATACTCAATTATGACTTAATCCTGCAGAGGAAAGAAAAGAAAACATATACCATTATGAAATCAGTCCCTTTACCTTTAGGAAATGGATTCCAGGAAAACTACTTGGAAGGAATTTAAAGGTAGAAGATCGAGTGCAGAAGGATCATTTTTCTCGTGCTAATGAAAACACATTGCAACATATAATATCCCCTTTGGAATAACATAGAAAAAAGGATTTCTGTAGAAGTGTGACAAAAGCACTATATTTGAATCCATGTCTAGATTTTTAAGTTGTACCATCCATTTTTCTCTTTGCCTAGTTATAAAACTAGGAATGACTTGAAAATTTTGTAACAAGATCTGCCTATTGATTCCTTCCCTACTAATATAAAAATTCAGTTTGCTCATTTCAAACCACCTCCAAGTAAAAAAAAAAAATAAAATAAAGATAAATACAGCCCTGAAGTCCTTATTCTTATAACCCAAGGTGAAGATGTGATTTACCATGAGTTGAATCATGAGAAAGTGACTTATGGTTCCATCTTCCCTTCATGTTCCTGCTGGGTATGCTTTTTTAAGGTTCATGGAGCAAGTTTGTGTAATTTCTCTCTCTAATTTTCTTGCACTGTTGATACCTCTTTTTTTTTTTCTTTTTTTTTTTTTTTTTTTTTTTTTTTTCCCATAATTTGCAAAGATTTTACCATTATGCCAAACTGAAGTTATTAGTCTTTTGATAAACAAAAAAGGGGCAGATCTATTAAAGTCAGCAGAATTGGTAGACTGACCTCAGCTGTGGATCTGGCTGTCTAGATAGAGGTTTACAAATAATTTTTTCTTTTTCTTTCTCTCTCTTTTCTTTATTTTTTTTTTAGTGAAATCAAAATGGTTTTGTACAACCCCTTGGCATTTGTGCCTAGCAAAAGTTTTTTGTTTTTTTTTTTTTTTAAACATGATAAAATTCACAGAATCACAGACTCACAGAATCACAGAATTGTCTAGGTTAGAAGAGACCTCAAGATCATCGAGTCCAACCTCTGACCTAACACTAACAAGTCCTCCACTAAGCCATATCACTAAGTTCTACATCTAAATGTCTTTTAAAGAACTCCAGGGATGGTGACTCAACCACTTCCCTGGGAAGCCCATTCCAACCCTCTCAGTAAAGAAGTTCTTCCTAATATCCAACCTAAAAAACCCCTGGCACAACTTTAGCCCATTCCCCCTTGTCCTGTCACCAGGCACAAATTCTTGATGCTTGCTCACTTGTACTTGCCTCATTTATTTATTTATTTTAAATCACAATGTTTTTAATTTATATCACACAAAGCTATGACAAAAGGTATAAAATGGATAGCAGGGAAAAGGTAAAGAAAGAAACAGATAAAATCGGTTCTGTTCATACAGAACAACTCTTTTTGTGCCCTGTATACCTATCGGCAGTACTCAATAAATATTAATTAAAATACTAGCAATATATATTTGATAGAAGAACAACAAAACAGCAAATGCTTTTGCCTTAAGGATATGTACTATCCTTTTGTGCATCCCTTGGAAATCAATAGAATGCACTGGAATTGTACAGCCAGTCTCCTAGCTCTCATTATTTATGAGCTCTGCTCAAGGGATTATTGAGGCATGAAGGCCAGATGTGACAGAGAAGTTAGATTGTTTCTAATTGGAGTATTTTCCTTTTTTTTTTTTTTTTTTTTTTTTTCCCACCCATAGGTTATCACTTCTTTAAGACTGAGATTCTAGAAGTGGGAGTACAATCTAATGAAGCCTGGAAAAAAAAAACTATTATATTATGTTTGGCTCCTTTATACTTCAGGGAAATACTTCTCTGTTCTCTGTGACAAGCCTGTTGATGCACAGAAGTATATAATCCATGTCACTTGGAGCGAAGCATTTTCATTGTCATTTTAGAACTGCATACTTTCTTTCAGATGCAAAAGGAAAAAGATGATGTGAAATGTCAGCACAACAGCAAAAACCCTTGTGAACTCTAAGAAAAATAAGCAAGTCCATTTCTGTGGAAAAGTCAAGATGCTACACCAGGGTGAAGGTTCTCTGGTTGAGTGGACTTCATAATCTCACAATTTTTACCAAAAGAGATATGACTGACAGAAGATAAGGCTTATGCATTTGTCTTTACTTTTAAAACAGATGAGATTTTTTAGCCAGTTCCATGGTGAGGTGGGCACATGATAAATATAGGAACATAAGGCTAGACAGACATTTTTTCCTACTAGTTAATCACAGGTACATCCCTAAAATCCTTGGGATGAGTTTCAAGGAAACAAAAAGCTGTGAGGAGAAATGCTTATTTAAATATGTGATTTGCAAGGTAAGACATTCCAAGGGGAATGCAGCAGAATTTATTCTTGGTACAAAAAATAGACATGAGAATACCCCAGACATCTTTAATCTATAGGACTGTCAGTTCAGCAATTCACCATATACTTTTCAGCCCCAAACTCACAGCTGAGCAGCTGGCTATCCAGCCAGATGTGTAAGCTATCAATTTTTGGGGACTTCTTCCAAATGTTTATGACCATTTTTGACCAAAAGCATTTTTGATGAAAAGATGAAATAACCCACAAAAACGTATTGATTTCAAAAATATTTCACCTGAAAAGAGTTTGTGATCCAGGGTTCGGCAGCTACCTCTGGTGACAGAGTGAGAGAGAGAGCAAGAGAAGCTGGAAAAAGAAGGGAAGAGGGTCAGAGAGAATCTGAGTAGAAAAAAAAATAAGCTTTATGATAAGAAGACAGATGTTTCTCTACAATTTCATTGTGACAAAATGTTAAGAATTCTGTTTTTATTCTGCTGGAGCACTAAAATTCATTTTAAAACCTTGAAACTTGTGAAATCAAATTACTACCTCCCAGTTAACTTTATTCCTAAATTTTCTCAGCTGAATTTTTTACCCAGTTTCAATGGAAATATTGGTAATTCCCCTGATTTTATTATCTGGGGTGCAAGGAGCTGAATGAGAGCTAAAACCTAGTTTTACTTGTCAAGAATAGAATTTCACTGTATTCTTCTGAATGGAAGTAAAACAGAGGAATCCCTTTCCCAATTACTTCCTTTTGCATGAAGCTGTCCTGTCATAGGAAGACTGATGGTCCTGCACTGCAAATTAAATTGACTGCCATGGCTTTCCTAGGTATGGAAAAACACAGAGGTGAATTCTGCCATCACATATGACGGTAAAACATTTCTTTTCTTGTGTCAATATGTTTGTAAAGTGAATCACATTTTCCTGTGTATGCTCATGAGAACTTACAGAACATTTGATTTCAACCGACATCTCTCATCACTCTGTATAGAACTACCATTCTACACATATGAGCAGAGACAGGAATATTCTTACCTCCTAATGCAAGATGCCCTGAATCTGCTGGACTGTTTCCTGCTGGCCCCAGTAGGGTTTGAATCACACCTGTAAGGAGGTTTCTCTCCCTTACTGGGGCTGGGCCGCTTGCTCCCTCAGAACAGTACTGTAGAATATTTTTATTTTTGTCATGCCACGGAGTCCGTCTCTCATGCTGGAGAGGCAGTTGTTATGGGAACAGATGTTACTCATCAGGCAGACCTACAGGCAGAGGCATTTTAAGGTAATATGACCTCCCATTATGAGAAGTACCAGATCTTGTTCTTGAACAAACAGAGCTCTCTTCTGCAAGCCCATGGGTATTTCTATGAGTTGCACAATATGGCACTGACTCCCATGGGCTACCATAATTTATTCTTGTATACTAAGTGCATTCTTGCTAAACAGAGAATAGCCAGAAAAGGCAAGAAGCTTCTCTTGTGACCTGGAAAACAACCAAGTTCATTTTCTGAAATATATATTATAATATATGACTTTGTGGAATGTAAACACCATAATAATTGCATGGAAAATGTCCAAGGCAGAGAAATCCACATATAAAAAAATTAATTGTTTGATATTTGATAAGTGGTTGGGAAACATTCTCAGTACAGTAGTTTCTCTTCTCTAAAGAGCTTTTTTGCACTGCTGAAAATTATTCCTGTCCTTTCTGTGGTTGGGGCTGGGGACAGAATGGGGGGATTTGGTGGGTTTCACAGAGTGTACACTTTTGGCTGGTATGATGCCAGGTCTTTTTTACTGTTAGTGCCTTCCAGGACAGGCAGAAGCAGGGTACAGATGGTTTGACCTGGATCCCCATCCTCACTCAAAACACAGCCTAGGCTGGCACAGGCTGGAGTATACTTTCACAGAGCATGCTGGCAGCCATGGTCTGCTTCTCAGTCCTTCATTTATCTCCCTAGCAGTCACTGGGAACAGCAAAACAAAGGTCTAGTGCATAAATTTATTTCTGTAAACCTTTTCATTGGAAATATGAACTGTGGTAAGGGTGAGGAACCAAAATGACGCCATTGGGGGTATTCAGACTAAAAAAGGGAAGGCAAAGGGAAGTGGTAAAAGCTAGATATCACCCTTCAGATTGTGAACTGCACACAGAAGGTACTTATCAATTACATCCTGCCGACTTGACTGTTTTCCACTTGCCCTGACAGGATCCATTCCCTTTAGTGCAGATGTATCTTGATGCAATCATTATAATTTTTTGTTGAGAACAAATCATCAACATCTGTCACAAAACAGACTATGGAGTTGTTTACACTGAAAAAAAATGACTGATACGCTATGGCTGTCAAGGTTTGTTAGATAAATCCTTCCTTTATGTTATGTTATGTTGCCAAGTTAAATATCGTAAGGATTTAATGGCTTCTTTCAATCCTCTGAAAGTGTAAAAAGGTCAAGACATGAAAGAGGAAGCAAATAATCTATACCTGAAAATGATATTGAAGATTTAAATTGAATTATCCAGCAATCTATGTGTATTGTTACTTTAAACATTTTTCAGCATTCAACTCTCAAACAAAAATAAAATATTTTCTAACTGTTATTCCCCTTTGATCCAGTTTGTCTCCAATCCAAACACATGCAAAATGGATTTTATTTTTGCTGTAGCAAGAAGAAAGTTTTGTATATTTCCCTGAGTTGATTTTGATTCTGAACTGCACTGGTTTTGATTCTAAATTCATTCTTGACTCCATTTAAAGCCACAGTGTGAAAAAAGAGAGAAACAAAAACCCGAAGCCCATGACAAATATACTATGCACGTTTGTCAGAATTTATTACAGACTTCAAGAGAAATGATAGATCTTGTCTCGGTTATTGGTAAAAAATACATTTCAGAAAATCCCCAAATATAAGAAGACTAATATCTTCACTGCATGGGTTACCTTCTGCAATCCATCTAAAACTAGAAACTGCTTTGGAAAATACTACTGCTTCTGTGTGGTCCATCCTTCTAATTTTCATACACTTTTTTTTTTCCCCTCTCAATCAACAATCATCACATCCTAGCAGAAAAAAAAAAAAAAAAAAAAGATATTTTGTGGGACTGCCTGCATCTACTTTTCCCCATCTCATCCTAACGAGTGCTTAAGGGTGAAATAAAGTTTCTGTGCATATCTTTAAACAATAAGGAAATCAGAGTCATGGAGCATTAACAAAAGCAAACTAACATTTTGTCAGTAACACAAAATAGCATAAATACTCCCCCAAAAGCAGTAGGGAATTTTACTTGAGTAGGTGGCAGTGTTGGCATCAACATTGCTGCCTCAGTGCTATTGTCAGGGCCTGAAGATTTGTACAACACTTAAACACATCTTGCTCACTGCTGTTCCAAGAGTCTAAAACTGGTGAATATAATGTCATAGGCCCAACTGGTTTGTATTCAGAATCACACAATGGAAAGTATAGGTAGCATACACAAAAATACAATTGCTCTAGTTTCAGGAAACAACTAAAAAGAAGCAATTTTTCCTCAAAGATCTGGATAATTATGTATTTCTACTAAATTTGTGCTGTTGTTACTATTACTATTGTGCTGATAGTCACCCAATGGTACTAAGACAATTACTCTATTATCTTCCTATAAGTATAGTTTTGGCTGTAGGTATGGCTTTATTTTTCAGGGCCTGGATAATCAAGAGAGTATTTGTTTTCTGTCTTTGAGCAGCTGACATTACTTCACTTTAACTCCTGCAACTTAATGCACTGTGCAAACCTGAAAAATAAACTTCACAGTCATGTTTTTATCTAACAGTTTCTGATTCACAAAAAGGGATTTTTACTTCCTGGACTAAAGACAGAGAGCTGAAACAAGGAAGGTTCAGGCTGGATGTTAGCAAAAGGTTCTTCGCTGAGAGGGTAATTGGGCATGGACTGGAACAGACTTCCAGGGCAGAGCCTGCCAGAGTTCCAGAAGTGTTTGGACAACACTCTCAGACACTTGGTCTGATTTTGGGGTGTTCCTGTGTAGAGGCAGGAGTTGGACTCAATGGTCCTTGTGGGTCCCTTACAACTTGGGATATTCTATGATTCTGTGACTAGAAGTGCCGTCACTCAAGTGTCACCTTCTTCTTGCTAGGATTTTATATAAGTAATCCTTGGTCCCAAAGTGTGCAAAAAGCCAAGCCTTGTGGCAAAGATACAGCAAGGCTTTTCTCTGTGCTCCTGTGGAACTGTACCAAAGTACACATACATGTATATGATATGGTTGCCCATACAGTAAGAGGTACAGAGTACAGTAGTTCATTCCCTTTGAGTATCACCTTCAGTATTCTGCACCTCAACCTGGAAAAGCTATTTACACACTGGAGGGTATTTGCAGAAAAGCAACTGAAAAGACTTCAATTTGTATTTGCTACATTTCAGGCAAGTAAATAGTTCAGATCCCTTTAGCTTTGAAAACTAGAAGGGACTTTTTTTTTTTTTTCCAAGTAAGCTGGGGTGTGGGGAGCTGGAAATCTAGTTGTTGAGATCAATAGAAGTTTATAACACAGAAATCAGAGCACAAAGTCTCTGGAGTAAGAAAGACAATATGAATCTGTTTTTAAGGGGAAAGGAAGAGGTTACTGCTGCTATCCTCAGGTCCTTAACATTGTCTGGTTTCTGTGGCATTTCACCTGATGTTTACAGCAGTTGAAAATACAGTATCCTGGAACATGAGGCTGACACCTCAGTGCCTTCCAAATGGGTGTCACTACATGTCCAAAGTGAAGTAAGGAGTAAAAGAAGAAATGAAGAGAAGGAATGGGAAAACGTATTGGGAGCTTTATTAACATTATTTTCAGAACTCCTTTAGGGGGTTGGTTAGGCAAGAAAAAGCCCCTAGTGAACAGCCAGATGCCATGTCAACTGAGGATGGGGCAGGACTTGTAGGAATCTCACAACCCATAATGCTGGGCTGTGCAAAAAGAGATGCAGTTGTGTAACAATGATCTATAACTAAAAGCTATTTTTAAGCCCTCTCTGTATGATATCCATGCATAGCCTAGTCCACACCCCCAGTGCACATTGCCAATTAACCAGGGAACTGGGGTTCTCTACTTAAAGAGAGTGTTCAAAGTGTATCTGCAGCTGCAGAGAGCTACAGCTCTTTAACATACATTTATATATAGGCAGTGTAAAGCTGAAACTGTGAATTGTATAGATCTCAGAAAATGTTATCCATCATTTGAGAGGTGGTATAACATGAATAAAGCATCTGAAAGTGGTGACTTCTTCATCCTCCATATAAAAGCATTCAGCGAGACTGCCCCCTGCAGTGTCCTTGTACTAAGATGTCACCACTCATCTCTAATCACTGAGTAAGG